CCATCTTATGAAATGGATGAATTAATACAGTTTGGATGCCTTACCCCTCCTTTCTCATCTTCTTCGGTTGGGTTATGATTAGGTGGAACTGTTCAATTAAGAGTAAATTAAATCCACATTGCCTCAATTTAGAAAGATTCGATAATCCTACTGAAGAGAGCTCTTACTGCCAAAAAATTTTCTTCAGGTTACGGTCACTGGAATGTTCTAATTGCGTTTCTGCCTAACGGCCATTAAGAGGTATGCTACTAATAAGACAACAGTAGTAGAAAAGTGTATGGTAATGTATAAGAATTCCTGTGAAAGAAAGCGTAAAAGCCGTGGTAACAAGTTGTACAGAAGACTTTAATCAAAGCTTGTGCTGTTAAATCTCATTCATGTTGACACATAGCCAAACGTCACGCCAGTCAGTCCCCTGAGAACTCAATTCATCGTGTAGGGCGCAGGACCCATCGTGAACAACTTGCCCATGGCTTGCCATCTTAAAACTAGAGAAACTGCAGATTTCTATGTAAAAATCAATACTAATGGTGGGGAAATCAGCCACAATGATGAGGTTTTCTGAGTTTTAGACAAACGCTAGGGTAGAATGCAAGGAGGCCAGGCGATTACGCAACTGCAGATTTCATTACACTGGCAAACTCCAAAGCCTTTATGCCATTTGACCACTCCACGTTTTGTTGTCTAGACAACAGGAAAACAGCTATTAAAATACCCTCTTCTTTTGCATTTGTAATCTCGCTTAATTAGATTCAGTCTTTGCGTTGCATACTAAAAGTGCATTTAAACCACCTATTTAGTGAGATTACATATTAAATAGTTTTCATTTTTATTAGAATTTATTCACTGCCTTTTGATTTTTACTGTCTGACTGTCAAAACTTGAATGAATTCAAGGGAAGGATATGAGATTATCTATTTTTGCTTTGATTGGAGACTTCTTAATTTCCCGTTTAAAACAATCAAAACGAAATGACAATGTCTGAAAAAGATTATTAAGAAGTAAGAGCTAACTGCACTCTATTTTAAGCACACATTTTACTATTCCCTGTTCTTCCCATTTCCTGTCCCATTTATCAGGTCTCTACTATAGAATGTACTGATGTCACCGTAAGTTTGATAGACTGACACAGAGAGGCATAGAAATCTTGGACTACTTTTTAACTAATTTCTTATTTAAAATTTGCGCTGTCACTGATTTATGGGATGTTTGAAGCTTTGAGCAGCTGCTGTTATCCCTGCCTTATTTTCAAGCACATTTTCTACTTATAACCCCCACTAGTAGTACGTGCTACTTTTGGAATTAATTATGTGCCAAAAGTAGAATAATCGGTGTAAAATGGAAATCTTTGGTGTTTTTTTCTATATTCTTACAAAGTGCAGCACTTTTCGCAAAGTGATTTACTTTAACCCTCGAAATCGAGTGATCTCAAAGATGTTCACATCGGGCATGGAACCAGGAGGCAACCCATCCATGAGAGACTCCCGATTATCCATTCTTGGACCTCGCATGCGTCATAGGAAGGATTAGAGGCTTAACTAAATGCATTCGTGAAAAAAGTAACTCACTTTTATTAATGAATCTCTTTTTTTTACGATCCACTGCAGCGATTTCAATATCACATGGGAACAAAGTGAGAGGGGTATTATATGACCCGCATTAGTAAAGCTCATTGCTTGTAAAATAAATCTAATATCTTTTTCTCACACCAAGGAAGAAGCAATACAGTGTAATAATAATGTTTTCAGTTTACTGTGCTTAGGGGTTTAGACTACGAGGAAGGCACATTCCGTTATTAGTTGTTTTGCTCTATTTGAAGCTCTTCTGATTAAATAAGGCGATTAAATGGGCTCATGCTTGAACTATTTTTAGATTAACTGATTTATTTCAAACTGCCTAATTTGTTTTTAAGTACTTTCATGCTGTTATTATGGAGATCAGGTTTCTGGGTGATTAGACAGTGATTGGTGTGATATTAAGCGTATCTAGCCTTGTGAGTTGGAAAAAAAGCCAAGCCGAAAACTTCACGAATGCATTAAAGGTTGAACATTTTACTAAAAAAAAAAGGGAGTAGCCAAACATCTGACAAGAGACATTCTGTATGAAGGTTTGACAATTTCTTTCCTGAAATGCACACTTTACTGAAATCGGCAATAGTCAGTGGTATTACAGGAGTTCAGTTTTCCAGTGTTGCCAGTAGAGTTTTTGTTGACATCTTCAAGGAATTCGGTGAAGATGAGGAGTTTAGTCTAATTGTAGCAGGGCTATAGAACGCCATCATATATCAATTGTACTACTTAATTCTTTGGCGCAAATTAAGTAGTCCTTATTTTGTAGTAGTACAGCTTTGTTGGTTAGGATAGAGACACAGCTATAAAAAAGGGGAACAGCAGAAAAGATACAACATACACCTATCAAGTTCCAAACCCATCACATCACTGTTGACTAAAATGAGGACCAGGAAGTAATGTTATAAGGGATATCATTAATAAGGCCGCAGTGACAGTGCGTGCGTGCATAAAATAGTGTGGCCGTTAAGATCCTTGTGAACGAAGGTTTTGTCTTTAAACCCTGCAAGACTTCAAGCGCAGTTTTTATGATGACAAGCACAAAGTACCATGGGGAGGATGTATACTTTCAGTGGTGATCCCGACCAGCCTCGACAGACACCGACACTGAAAGCATTAAAGCAAATTGTCCTGGGATAGTAACGGAAAAATGAGTTAGGAAGAAGCCGTAGTTTGCATTACTCCTAACTTGTTTGTTCGTGAACTCAAAATCTCTGGAATGACGTTGGCATTCATTGAAATAAAATATTCAGTCCCTTTGGGCACTAACGGTGACTTGAAGCATTGCGGTATTCGGTCTTGGTAGCAAGATCAACCGGTCTTCAAACTGTTTAACCTATTACTCAGACGTGGCTTTGTCCTCTGGAGGATAGTGAAATTGCATTATGTTATGAGTACTGCCATCTGCTAATAATATAGACGAAACCAAAAACTTTCTCTCTGCTAACAACTCCATCAGCTTTAGCTGATGCTCGAGTAGATATTCTGGCTTTTCCAAATCCGTGATGAGAATAAAATTTCGACACTTGATTATAAGGGTATACATTAATCCTTTCCTGCCAAGCTCCTAGCTGGAGTAGTTAGCAGATCAAGGCTCTGATGCAAGTTTCTTTATACGTCGACATGCCAGCTGGCTAGATAGGCTGTGGAGACTGTTACAGACACACGAACGCTTCTGTTATTATGTATTTCCTACGTTCGAATTGACCTTGACCCCAATACGTTTATTGATTCACCTAAAGTGCATCGGCATGTGGTATCCACCAATTAAGGGGAAGTGTGGGAAAGGAAAAGTAGCCAGGAGAAGGGAGTCTCCTAGCCTACCAAAACAGGAGCTTTTTCTAGGGATTGAGGCTCATGCTTTCCCTGCTAATAGTGGAATCGAATCAAGAAAGGGAAGAAACAGGTCACTAAACTTCTGGAAATTCCGCTATCTAACTTGTGTGGCCTATAAATATTGCCACCTTTTGTTAGTACCAATCAAATTGCAAACATTGCTTCCACAATCCAGCTGTTATTATTTAGTAATCAAGTTGGGCAAACACTGTTGGACTTTTTACCTCTCTGATCCAGTATACCAACCAAATGCTCTATGGCGAGGAGTTTTTTGGCGTAGTAAGGTGTTTTTCACTTCAAAGATGAGTAAACCACACCTCGCTTATTTGTCTCAGCTCGTCAGATAATCATTTCAAGGTAAGCATGCTTTTGGTCTCTCGGAGATGCATTTCTCGCTTTTGTATACACCTCTCTCAGAACTCCAATGGTAGGCATGAGCTTATAGCTGTTTTTAATGGAGACAACTAGTTTGTACCTCTGACATTCAGCATTGTCTTGGAACGACAAAAAGCCAGTTGTCGGAGAAAATCATTTGAATTTTATCACCACACTTTGACGCCAAGGGTAAGCGATTTGTCTTCCAACATTTGTGAGAAAAGGGAAAGCCATTCAGATGTTCAGATGTACTGATCTTTCTTTTAAGTGGTTCAGTGATTTGGAAATATCAACCAACTTGGCGAATTATTAGGCTTTGTCTGCAGTAGCTGTCTTAAAAGTTAAAGACAGTTAAGTCATTTACTCATTTTAACTAGCTTCTGTAGGTGTCACATTTAAAGTATTGTAAAATTAGCTGTCATAAAAAGGGCCCAAAGTAATTTCGAGAGTTAAGAAGGGCAAATCTGTGCCCAAAGCAGTCTTGCAAACACATTGCGTGACATAATTTGAAGGCGAAGCTGATGCACTGCGCATCAAGTTCAGACAGTGTTGCTGAATTTGTCCTCCATTGGATGGGGCAAATAAAAGCCGACCCTCACCCAATTGCCTGTCTCGAAACCCATTCTCTCCTAATTACTCTCAATGAAAGGACTTTACCAGTGTTTAACACTTGTTTTGTCATTAAACCACTTCTTTATTGCTATGCTCCCAGAATCCCACTTTTTAAGATATCTACAAAATTTAATCACACTATCTGCGCATTTTACTCCTTTTGGGTTTACTTCCACTTTTTCCACTGATCATTTAACCCAGATAATCACGTGTTCCCTGTTTATATCAAATCGAAATATATGTTAGGGTGTTTTCCTGACATTTAGGAAGCCAAATAGGAAAGACCTAAAGGTCCCTTTTTGAGGGCAGCACACAATTTTGTCGATCACTTGAAGACTGGGCGGTGATCGGACTGCTACAGCACCTACTTCGAGGTGACAATCGATGACCAGCAAATAAAAAGTTGTCAAAATCTGTGTGAAATAGTAGCAAATACTCGATACAACTGGTGAATACAAAGTTAGGTAAAGGCTACACCTGATTTTGTATAAATATAGACCGAATAAGCAAACACACCCCACCACCTACAGCGGCACACAATGACCACTGGTTATGGTAAGGTGTTTAAATGTATTCCTAAATTTTGCACTTCTTCTCCAATTTTGGCAAAATTTATTTATCACCCTTAATTTCTACACCACAGTAATTGAAGTGGCTGGTAGAAGAGGTAGGACTGCTTAGACTCATACAAAACTGATTATTCAGAAGAACGTTTCAAGAACGTTTCAGCTCTACAAAAAGAAATTCAATTAATTAAAAAGGTGGACTTTTGGACTTGTTGCACAAAATTCTGAACACTTTATTTCGAAGATCAGTCAATTTAGGTAGAGCCTCTAGCTAAAGCCAAGTTCGCCCTCATATCGCCACCTTTTCCTGAGGATTCGTTGCCTTAAATTGTTAGCTAGCTATCTCAGTACCTCCCAACAGGAAATGACAGCCCGAAATATCTCCAGGACTTGCTTTAATTAGGCCTTGATACTCCCTTAAAAAGAAACTGAAAACGAAAGAACTAAAATAAGCTCTTCTCATTAATTACCGATGTATGGGGAAAGGAAAAAGAGGAAATGTTATGTAAAGAATTGTCTTGCACCCATTTATAATTTCTTAAGTCTAATCATTGAATGTAGATTGAGGCAGTAGTTCTGCAATCACGCAGCGTGATGTGCTCACATAACTACCATAGCAACGGCCTTGAAATGCCGACATCTGATTGGACGAATGCGTATGCATAAGCTAACGCCTAAACAGGGCATAGCAACAGTTAAAAATCTTATTCATTTATTCACATAACAGTGTAGAGGAGCCACACTTCTGTGAGTTTAATTTTTTTTCTCCTTATTTCCTTCGCTTTGATAAGAGCATAGTTTGCCGTAAGGTAGGTAGGCGACTTTCAATTTAAAGACATAGGCTATTTTGTTCAGGTATCTTAAGCTCTCCAAAATCTGTGTCACTGAAACTATTTTACCTTAAAAAAGGTTTTCACTGATTAAGGAC